GAGGCTACCAAGAAATGATAGTGTCCTCTACCTCGTGATGTCATTACTTATAAAAGGGAATTAAACACTGAGAGATGCAGTGTTTTCTATAAGCATCCTTGGAAAATCACAGAGTGAACATCAGTGATGCATGACCAAAGGACAATCCGATCAGCTCTACTTATACAGACGCTCAAAGAAGAACAAAAATCTGAGCAATTCTGCAGGCAGTCATATGGTTCCCGTTCTTTCTGATCGTGCTACCACAGTCATTTTGAAGAGTAATAGTAGGCTCATTTATCCTAGAAGTACTGTGAATCTTATATCAGGTGGTTTTATTACCAGGCACATTTTAGCCAACATGTAAAGGCCAAGATGTTGGAATTTATTTTTGGTGTGGAGAAGGCATAGCATAGTGTCGAAGCCAGGTGGCATGGATTTGAATTCCGACTCTGGCAGAGATTCCTTTTGTTATTTGGTACAAGTTACTGAACTCGTAAGTTTTGGTTTTAACATTTGTAAAATAACAGTATTTTCTTCATTGGGCTGCTATGAAATTTGCATGAGAGGTTTGTAAAGCTCATCAGCATAATGCCCGGTACATGGTAAGTACTCACTCAATGTCAGCCTGAGTAACAGCGATAACCAGAGCCTGGTGTTAAAAAGAGATGGTGTTGGGTGGGGACACATCGCTGCTATTACTGGACGAGTCATTGTTGCAGTCTTTGGGCTCCTCTGCTCTTCTCTTTCCATAACATTAGCCAATGGCAGGTTGATCTGCCTTCTTCTCATCTCTCCTGAACCATGAACCCTTTGGAGGGTACCACTCAGCTCCTCCAGCAGGTGTTTCTTGATAGTCCACTATGAGTTTGGCACTGAGCTGTGTCCTGGAAGTAAACAGTCCCCCCCCCCCCCCCCCCCCCCCTCAGGACTTTATGATCCACGAAGGGAGACAAACACAGAAACAGATCATTTCACTATGATTTGATAAGAGCCAAGATTAAAGCAAACTTAACTAAGATAAAAACTCATCCATGGGTGCAGAATTGGATTTAAGCAAATGTAAAGGGTTTGCTGACTGCGCTGTACTGGGTAGCGTAGTCTATTTGAACAGCCTTAATCCTAGATTATTAATGTTAGAGTCACCAGTGATCCTGTTGATCATAAAGGTGCTTTATGTGAGCTATAGAAGAGAAAAGAGTTTTGGTGCCCTGGATATCAGATGCTCGAGGAACTAGAAAACTGGGTTGAGATGATGAGGCAAACTTGTGGCAACCTTGTGTATAAAATCAGGAAGTGGGGGTCAGAGTGGTTTTATTCAAGGTAGGCAGATTTTGAAATTGGGGACCCTGTAGAAGACATCACTTCAGCTTTGGAGTATGAGGCACGAATAAATATCAGCCATTCTTAGCATAAAACAAAAAGACTAAAAGATCTACAGAGCCCTGTTCCTTTGGCTAGTATTTAAGTCAGTAAATCTGTTAGTGGAAATTAAGAATAAGCTGTAAATGTGATGGGAAATATTTTATTGGGAGAAGCACTTCCAGCTTTGAGGTATATTAGAAAAAGCAAGGGCTAGGAATGGATCTGGATTCATATTCTGGCTCCTCCACTTCCTGGATATCTGAGCCTTTGTTTTCTTACCTGTAATATGAGCATGATAGTAGCATTCACAGCATCCCGGTAGGAATTAAAATCTCTTTCTAGTGCAGGTCTGTTGCTTAATTCTATAGTTCTCTCTCTTGAAACAATATGATTACTGGAGAGGAATAGCTATCTCCAACATTTTTTTTAAATGTTCTAATTCAACTTGGACATATAAACATTACAATATAGCCCACAAAGCAAGATTCTGAAGTTAAAAGCAACTGTAAAATAATTATATGCCAACACTCCACCAAGCACTTATTTAAAAAGAATCAAGGTCACATGTATTCAGTATTCTAAATTCTGCTGCCTTGATTGCGTGTAGGTAGAGGGAGGGGGGCAGGGGTTGGTGCAACTACAACAGAATTTCCCATTGGTTAGAGAAGCCACAGAGAAACCTCTTAAATGATACCCTTATCCAGTTCTGATGGCAGGTCGGCATCACTTCTGCTTCAAGACTCATATTGGCTTTGAGATGATATCGGTGTATTTTTTGTAATGGTGGCCTCTGGACATTTCCAGAGATGTTGCATGCAATCGGGTTGATGTTGACCCATTTGTCATCCTTACCTATTGAATGTCATGAAAACACATGACCTAGACCAGTGATGGCGAACCTTTTGAGCTCGGCGTGTCAGCATTTTGAAAAACCCTAACTTAACTCTGGTGCCGTGTCACATATAGAAATTTTTTGATATTTGCAACCATAGTAAAACAAAGACTTATAGTTTTGATATTTATTTTATATATTTAAATGCCATTTAACAAAGAAAAATCAACCAAAAACATGAGTTGGCGTGTCACCTCTGACACGCGTGTCATCGGTTTGCCATCACTGACCTAGTGATCATTTTTGTTCTTTGTTGCCTTCTCTGCGCTTTTCAGTGTGAGAACCATGAAGGTTTCTGCTGCTGTAGTGGGTGATGAACTTTATGTTAAAAAGTAGAAATAAACTTGTGATTGTCACCATTCCTAAGTGTCTGAGCTGCAGCCCCTGGGACAGATATTACAGAGAAGACACACAGATCACAAGAGACTTGAAATGGCTTAGAAGGTTGATGAAGCCAAGCACAGTGACTGTTTTGCTGAATTTTATGGTCATTCCTTTTGTGTTTACGCTGCTATTCTAAAATACTTAAGTCTTCATGAACTGAAATTGTGGGTTTAATTGGCATTCATTAGCCTAGAATATTGGATTTGGATTTGGGAGCCTTGGAGCCTATTCTTAGGTCTTCAATTGACTTAGTTACTCAGGCACGTAGCCTGATCTTTGTACCTTTAGCCATAAACGTATATAATTTTTCCCTGTGCTAGAGAAGAATGTATTATATGACAGAGTTAATAGAATCATCTCCAGAGAAGAATATATCTCCAGAAGGCATTCGGGGGATGACATCCCTGGGGCTGGGCCCTAGGCCGGGAAGACGCCTGGGGCTGATCTGGCTGCTGCAGGGGCTGGAGACCAGGACTTGGGGTCAGACTCCAGAGGCTCAAATCAGAGCACTCCTGCTGGATGGCTTCTGGAAGTTACATAATCTGTGTGAGCTTCAGTTCCCTGCCTGTAAACGAAGTGATGCCTATTTCAGAGGGCTGTTAGGAGGAAGATGAAATAACAATGCATGCAGACATCCAACACAGAGGCGAGATGTCACATACTGCAGGCTTTGTAAGAGCCCCTCTTTTCTCTCTCAGTTCTAGATACATTGAAAAGGAAGAAAAAAGAATTGGCGGATCGTGGTGCAATCTTGCCTTTATTATTATTGTTTTTATCCTGGGTTTGATCAGCTTTATTATTGGGGAAAAGGGGATATACAGCTTAGTCTGAGCACTGGCTAGGCTTACCAAAACTGAACCCCAGAATTAGGCAAAATCACCCAGCCACAGTCCTAGTAGACCTAGGAAGGCTTAATATGGTTTTTTTTTTTTTTTTTTTTTGTGTGCAGGCTGGCTTCCTTTTTGTTTGTTTTTGTTTTTGTTTTTTTTTTTGTGCAGGCTGGCTTCCAAAAGGAAAGAGAGAGGAGCTAAGCACAACTTTCGAGGTAGGGTCTGGAAATCAGAATTTTTAGATATTTTTTTAAAATTGATTTTAGAGAGAGAAGAAGGGAGAGTGAGAGAGAGGGATAGAAACATCAATGATGAGAGAGAATCATTCATCCATCAACTGCCTCTTGCATGCCCCCTAGTGGGAATTGAGCCCACACCCGGGTATGTGCCCTGACCAGGAATTGAACCATGACCTCCGGTTCATGTGTTGACACTCAACCATTGAGCCACACTGCCTGGGCTGACATCAGAATTTTAAGAAAGCTTCTCCACTTCCAGTGCACATCCAGGTTAGGACCACCACTGTAGGCATGTTAGCTGTTTTGCACAGCCTCTACACCTTTGAATATGCCTAGATTGAGCATCCTTGCCTTCGTCACTTGGGGAAAGAAATTACGCTATCTTTTCAATCTTGAACTTGGGTATTTACTCCTCTGTGAAATCTTCTTTTCCCCCCACTTCCTTCCTACAATAGGAATTGCCCAATCCCTCCTGATTCTACCATAGACTCAGTTATTTCACAAAACTTACTGTGTTGAAATTGACAACTAGGCTGCGAACACTATTTATGAAAGTGCATACACATATGTATATTTGTCAATGTTTAAAAAAAGATCTGAAAGTATACCCACCAAATTATCAGGGGTCTTCACTCTGGAGAGAGGGATTTGGCCACAACAGAGGTGGGCAAACTTTTTGACTCGAGGGCCACAATGGGTTCTTAAACTGGACGGGAGGGCCGGAACAAAAGCATGGATGGAATGTTTGTGTGAACTAATATAAATTCAAAGTAAACATCATTACATCAAAGGGTAAGGTCTTTTTTTTTTTTTTTAATTATATTCATTTCAAACGGGCCGAATAGTTTGCCATGGCTGGGCTAGAAGAATATGTGCTCAGTTAACTGCTACATTGCTTTAATTTTTAAGCAAATCTGGATTATAACAGTAACAAAAATCATTTAAGAGAGGAAAAGTATTGCATTATGTTATCTTGCTCTGTGATTCCTCCTGAGGTGACTGCCACATGTCATCGCAGTCATTATCGTAATTTTAAACAGTGTTCTGTCCTCTCTTATCCCTTCCTCTCCCCCATTCTTTTGTTCTTCTTTTCAAAATCCACCTATGGCCATAGGCATTCTTAGATGACAGGGGAGGGCACAATATGTACATGACTCAATCTCAGACTTGTCTTGGTGCTGTAAGTAGGAACAGGTATCATCTTTTCTGAAGAACTTTTTATTGAGCCATTATAAATTTGAACATATAACAGGAAGAGAGACTGTTTGTTTTTCTGCTCTAACTCTATGTATCTTTTCTTATCCAGGTAAACGACGGAATTCAAGTTTTGAAGGATGGGTAAAGACTTCCGTTATTATTTCCAGCACCCCTGGTCTCGCCTGATTGTGGCTTACTTGGTGATCTTCTTTAACTTCTTAATATTTGCGGAGGACCCAGTTTCTCATAGCCAAACAGAAGCCAATGTTATTGTTGTTGGAAACTGTTTTTCATTTGTAACCAATAAATACCCCAGAGGAGTTAGCTGGAGGCTTCTGAAGGTGCTACTATGGCTACTCGCCATTCTCATAGGACTAATAGCTGGCAAATTTCTCTTCCACAAGCGTTTGTTTGGTAAGTACCCATGAGCTACAGTGCTGTAATTATTCAGTCTCTGTTCTCCAGAATAGAGCTTTATTGTTTCTAAATGCAAAATGTAAGATGCATTTCAGATCGCTCCCCCACCCCCCGCCTTAATTTGGTATATACTATTGTAGCTAGGTTCTTCAACTACTCTCTGTTTAATAGTTAATTTTGTTTGCTATGGCCTAAGGGAAATTATCATGAAGTACCAGACTTCATTTAAAAAAATGGCTTTAGAGAAAAAAAATAAATGAATGTTTGTGTAATCTTGTTTAGGGAATAGATGAAAATAACCCTTTCCCCATAAGCAGTACTTAAATATGATGTTGTAAATAAATGAAAATTGGCTGTAGGAGGTTTATTTTCAGCTTATTCAACTACAGAACAGTATATTAGTAAGAAATCTCTTGGTACTAAGCAACAGAAAAAGAGACTAAATTAGCTCAAGATAAAAAGATAACTTACTGTAAGGATTTTGGGATGTTTCACAGAGACCAGGGATAGGATTTACTTTGATAATTGGGATAAATGGAACCAGGGGCTTGAATTCTGGCAGGGTATTCTTGGTCTTGTCTCCTCTATCAGTCTGCTTTATTCTCTCCATTCACAGTGAAGATCATTTTACACTCACACAGAAAGACTGGCTTGACTCTCTTGATCCCAAGTTTAAACATTCAGGGAAGCAGCTGAAGTTGACCAGTTTGGGTATGGTTTCCACCTCTGGCCTAATTCATTTTGGCCACGGGGTGGGCGATATTTACCCCACAAATATTCATTGATCACTTATTGCATGCCAGGCACTATTCCAGATAGTGAATCAAAAAGGTAAGATATCTGCCCACGTAAAAATGTACATCCTACAGGAGAAAGTCACTAAGCAAGTAAATTTCTAATATGTAAAGAAGTGGTAGGTGCTATGGGCAATAAATTTTAAAATGCTGCTTGGTCACTTCGGAAGAGAATTTGGTAATAGAGCTTTGAATTTAGCACTTACAAGATCATAGGTGACTTATTGTGGGTGTTTTCAGTCTAGCAGTTTGGTTAGAAACAGATGGCAATGATTTAAATAATGAATGAACAACTATATATGTACATACATGTATATTCACATGTAATATTACATATTATTCCTTTCAATCTCTGTGTTCTCCTCAAACTATTGCCATCTGGTTCTATTACATAAATACATAAAATATACATATTGTCTGTTTATTATATATGTACATAGTTTTAAGGAGTTTGATGATAGAGTGTCAGTCTGTGAACTGAAGGGTCCCAGGTTCGATTCTGGTCAAGGGCACATGCCCTGGTTGCAGGCTCAATCCCCAGTGGGGGGCATGCAGGAGGTAGCCAATCAATGATTCTCTCTCGTTGATGTTTCTATCTCTCCCTCTCCCTTCCTCTCTGAAAGCAATAAAAATATATTTTAAAAAATGGAAGGACCAGTGGTAGATTTTTGTTATTGTTGTTGTTGGTGATTTTATTTGAGGAGTGAGATTGATGGATCTGCTTGTTGTTGTAGGGTAAAGAGCTAGACTAAAGTGCAGGTGAGGATATAGAAGATAGCATCTCTGAAGATTTCTTTGGTTTGTGACTTAGGACACAGCTAGAAATAGTGGCCTTAAGAAGACAGGAAGAGAGACTCCTGTTCCTCAGAAATAATCATAAATGAAGTAAAAGCTGGTACTCTAATGAGAATGTTTGAAGTGAAGGAGTAGAGAGGGTGAATGTGCTGCCATCTGGTGATTTCTACTTCACAATGAAGAAGGAGCTAAAGATAGGGATAGAGAGGTTGGATGATGCAAGGAATTTAAGAAAGTGGTCACGGTTTGGAATAGTGATCCAAGGGAGTGTGGAAGCAAGCAGGGTAGGGACAAATGAAAGGATTACAGATTATCACTGAGAGATGATGAGGTTATCTGCTATAACTCTGAATGCCACCAGTCTGAAGTGTTGAGCAGGTTTCTCTATTATGAGAGCTTCGTCACCTGGAACAGAAGTTAGGAGTGATTCATCTGGGTGGAGACTTTTTTGGCTTGTGTTATTGGAAACAAAGGATGGAACATAAATGGAGGGTTCTAATAAAAGAATTATTGATTTGATTATTAGGGGGTCTGTCTGGATATGGGAAGGAGGTGGGGAAGATGATGGTCTGGGAGGAGTGGGCAAGAGCCTGAAGATTTGGATGAAATTGAACAGGTAAAATGAGAGTAAGAAAAGGGAAAGGACTGATGGGTGTGGTTAAATTTCATGTTCTAACAGAATTACAGCCATTCTTTGTGGTGATTTCCAACTAGGGAATCTTTAGAGAGTGGGTACTAGAGTGGAGAGAAAGGTCATTGATACAGAGGATGTCTAGGAACTGGGTGTCAGTTGAGCCATTCACCAAACATTGAACAAGCATGGTATCCTGAGTAGTAATCATATGTATAGACAAAGTTAAAAATGGGGGAGGGAGGAGGTGATGGGTCAGCAAAAATGGGTGAAGGGTGCTGGACAGACAAAACAATAGATATCCATTACAAGCAATTGCTGGATATATTTGTAACCCATTCAGGAAATTTGCTCAGTGTAGAAAGTTAAGGTGAACTTAGACCAAAGCTTTCTGCCTATATTAAGGATTAATTGATAATCATATGGTCAAGGTTATGGTATTGATAATAAGGGCTGATCATTTGGTTTTGTAATTGCTACATTTTGTTAAACTATCCCCTTGCAAAGTCTTACCTCCTATACAAAAAATCACATTTTAGTCATAACTTACTTTGTAATTCTCCTGTTGATATAAATAATTCACTCTAGCCGAAACCGGTTTGGCTCAGTGGATAGAGCGTCAGCCTGCGGACTGAAAGGTCCCAGGTTCGATTCCGGTCAGGGGCATGTACCTGCGTTGCGGGCACTTCCCCAGTGGGGGATGTGCAAGAGGCAGCTGATCGATGTTTCTCTCTCATCGATGTTTCTAACTCTCTATCTCTCTCCCTTCCTCTCTGTAAAAAATCAATAAAATATATTTTAAAAAAATAAATAAATAATTCCCTCTAGATTTCAAGTGGTATATTGAGTACAAATTATTTTAAAATAGTGTAAAAGTGTATCTTTTTGTTTATTTATTTTTGCTTACTATAGGGAAGATTGTATTTACAGTCAGCTTTATCACTTCTATTTGGCAGTATGGCAATTTCTTTTAAAAATATATTTTTATTGATTACAGAGGAAGGGAGAGGGAGAAAGAGAGAAACATCAATGATGAGAAAGAATCATCTATCAGTTGCCTCTTGCATGTTCCCTGCTGGGAATTGAGCCCACAACCCAGGCATGTGCCTTGATTGGGAATTGAACTGTGACCTCCTGGTTCATAGGTTGATGCTCAACCATCAGAGTCACACTGGGTAGGTTAAAAGTCTTACTAAAAGTCTATAAAATTATATGGGGTATCAGAGAAGGGATGATAACCTTTTGCAAATTTTGATGATAAGTAGATAACTAGACTCCTGATTGAATTTTCTAATAAACTTGAAACTTGTCTACTCCTGTTATCCCCCTTCATCTTCCTTAATGGCCATTCTTTCTTCCTTCACTCACGATCATATGCTTCTAAGAGTTCTCTCCTTCATAATTCATTCTGGATTTTGCTACCGAAATAATTTTTCTGCATGGCTAAATGTCTCCTGTCACTTGCAGAATAAAGTCTTAACTCCTTTGATTGATATTTAAAGCTTATTATGATCTACTCCTGCCTGACTTCAAACCTGATCTCTTGACATTCTACACTATGCAGAATTATTTGCTGATTCTCCAACCTGTGGGAAAGAAGCTAGATTGAAGTGTAGACAAAGATATAGAAGAAAGACAGCATCTCTGAAGGTTTCTTTAGTCTGTGACTTAGGACACAAGTAGAAATAGTGACCTTAGAGAGGACAAGAGGAGAGATCCCGGTTGCTCAGAAATAGTCTCGCATGCTTCTTGCCTTTGCATGTGTGCCATCCCATACCCATCATGCTCATCCTCTCCTGGTTAAGTTGGTGAATTTCTCTTTTCCCTTCACATCCAAGTTCAAGCATTATGCCCTCTGGGATGCTTTCTTTAACTTCCTTCTGTCTGTTGTCATCCCCCTGGCTTCCACTTTTGTCCACATGCACCAAAGAAAGTACATCAAGTACATCAGGGTACTCTGGAACTGGCAGCCATGCAACGTTGTGGAAAAGAATCCAAAATTTAATGCAAGCATACTCATTGTTCTCATTGGCTTGGAATGTGATAAATGTTTTCACCTTTGTTCCCAAATCATTAGCACTTACACACAATTCATTTTTTTAAAGGCCATATTTAAACCTTTAACAAACTGTTCACATAAGCTTGTGGTTAGTTGAGGGTGATGATGGGGTATGTAAGTTTAGAGGATGGGATTGTTAATTGCAAGCACAGATATATTTGTTAATAGATATTGGAATGGTTTACAAAATAAACAATCATTTTGTGAGATCAGTTAAACCAGTGGTTCTCAACCTTCCTAATGCCGTGACCCTTATACAGTTCCTCATGTTGTGGTGACCCCCAACCATAAAATTATTTTCGTTGCTACTTCATAACTGTAATTTTGCTACTGTTATGAATCGTAATGTAAATATCTGATATGCAGGATGAATTTTCATTGTTACAAATTGAACATAATTAAAGCATAGTGATGAATCACAAAAACCATATGTAATTATATATGTCTTTTCCGATGGTCTTAGGCGACCCCTGTGAAAGGGTCGTTCGACCCCCAAAGGGGTCGCAACCCACAGGTTGAGAACCGCTGAGTTAAAGGTTGGTTGTTTTTTTGTCATCCTCTTATGAAATGCCCAAAACATTTTTTTTATTGCTTAAAGTATTGCAAAGGGTATTACATATGTCTCCTTTTTTCCCCCACCCCTTGACAATCCTCTGGCCTCCCATACCCCCCAGTGTCTTATGTCCATTGATTATGCTTATATGCATGCATATAAGTC